AGGTCCCTTCCGGCTCCATTGTGATTATATTACATATTTATCTCAAACGGCACAGGGTCTCCTGCCTGAGCAGGGGGTTGGACTAGATGACCCCTAAGGTCCCTTCCGGCTCCATTGTGATTATATTACATATTTATCTCAAACGGCACAGGGTCTCCTGCCTGAGCAGGGGGTTGGACTAGATGACCCCTAAGGTCCCTTCCTGCTCCATTGTGATTATATTACATATTTATCTCAAACGGCACAGGATCTCCTGCCTGAGCAGGGGGTTGGACTAGATGACCCCTAAGGTCCCTTCCGGCTCCATTGTGATTATATTACATATTTATCTCAAACGGCACAGGGTCTCCTGCCTGAGCAGGGGGTTGGACTAGATGACCCCTAAGGTCCCTTCCGGCTCCATTGTGATTATATTACATATTTATCTCAAACGGCACAGAATCTCCTGCCTGAGCAGGGGGTTGGACTAGATGACCTCCAAGGTCCCTCCCAACTGTGAAAATGCCGCCTTTTGAGTCATTGCTAAAAATAAAGGAGTGGCAAAATTGTCCAGGAAGACGGAGAGTCCTCAACCGTGACGCAGGCCAAAATTTCCGTTGCTAAATGAGGCAGCTTTTAAGTGAGCTTTGTCCCGTTTTACGACCTTTCTTGTCGCCGTTGTTAAGGGGGATCCCTGCGCTTGTTAAGTGAGTCACACGGCTGTTCAATGAATCCTGCCCCTCCCCCCCCGTTGGTTTTGCCGGTCCGAAGGTCGTAAAAGGCCATCAAGGGACCCCGTGAAACTGCAGCCGTCGTAAGTGTGAGTCGGTTGCCAAGCATCTGAATTGTGATCACGGGACCGTTGAGGGGGGACAGCAACGGTCGTAAGTCTGAAAAGCGGTCATTAACAGAGTTGGAAGGGACCTCGGGAGTCCGTTTTTTCAATGCCGGCGTATGTTCAGACGGTCACTAAACGGAATGGTTGTAAGTCGAGGACTTCTTGGCTCTGGATGAGTTTTGTGGACATCTTTTGTCTTGAAACAAGGAGGAAAACCTGGACACCTTGTTATCGCCTCCTTTCCCCGAGGCTGGATGGGGGATTCTGGGAGTTGAAGTCCACATGTCTTAAAATTGCCACGTTCCTAGAACAGCATTTTTCAACCCTTTTAGATGTGTGGACTTCAACTCCCAGAATCCCCCAGTCAAGATGGCTGCATGGGGGATTCTGGGAGTTGAAGTCCACGGGTCTTAAAAGCAGCCAAGGTTTGAGATCCCTGTCCTAGAACAGCATTTTTCAATCTGCGTATCTTTTAAATTGCACGAACTTCAACTCCCAGAATCCCCCAGTCAAGATGGCTGTCCTGAGGGATTCTGGGAGTCGAAGTCCACGTGTCCTAAAATCACTGAGTTTGGAGACTCCAATCCTAGAATGGTGTTGTTGTTTTTTTACCTTCTAAGCTGTATGGATTTCAACTCCCAGAATCCCCCAGTCAAGATCTGGGGGGATTCTGGGAGTTGAAGTCCACAAGTCTAAGAGCAGCCAAGGTTGGACATCCCTGTCCTAGAACAGCATTTTTCAATCTAGATGTCTTTTAAATTGCATGAACTTCAACTCCCAGAATTCCCCCAAGCTAGCCATCTGGACTGAGGGATTCTGGGAGTTGAAGTCCACGCGTCTTAAAAATCGCTAAGTTTGGAGACCCCGGTCCTACAGCAATGTTGTTTTTTTTACTTTCTAAGATGGAGCGACTTCAACTCCCAGAATCCCCCAGTCAAGATGGCTGGTTCGGGGGGGGGGGATTCTGGGAGTTGAAGTCCCTCCATTTTAAAAGCATCCAGGTCCCAGATCTTCCCTAGAAATGCCCCGTTTTCGCGGGAAGGCCTCGCGAGTTGGCTTGTTAGCCGGAAAAAAGACCATTTTTCCGCTCCAATCCCCTCTCTCGCGCCTTCCTCCCCCCCCCCCGCAGAAAAGGAATTTCTCGGCGAAGCGCAACCCCCAACTCAAGAGGCCTGGCCCCCCCATGGAGCCCCCCGTGGTCCAGCCCATCCCGCCGGTCCAGCATCCAGCCCACCTGGGCCACGGCGAAGAGATGCCGGCGCCCATGAAGAGACGGCGCAGCACCAGTCCCGATCAGGTAGAGTATCCCTCCCTCCTCCTTCCCTGTTGGCACTCTGCGCATGCTTTGCGGCCGCTGCTTTCGGCTTCTGCTTGGGGGGGGCTGCTGGCTTTTTAAAAACAAGGACAGGGGAGAAATGGTTCTGTAGGTGAGATTCATCCCTTCCTCGATGGGGAAGGATGTGGGGCAGCTGGGGGGTGGGGAGGAGGAGGAGGAGGTGGTGGGGATTTGGAGGCAGTGACCCTCTCCTCTTGCTCTCTCTCTGCCCGTGCCTGCCGGGGAGCAGAATTGTGGTAATGGGGGAGGCCAGCATCTCTCCGGTTCCGGAGCCCCCGGCAACCCCCACTATCAGCTGGCCAAGCCTGGATTATGGAGCCCCCTCCATGGAGACCATTGGGCCCAGGAGCGCAAGAACTTGGCCGTCCCAGAGAGACAAGTAAGGCTGTGGCCCCACTTTAAGGCCCCCCACCCGCCCCCGAAGGAGGGAAGGGAGGAGGGAGAGAGGGAGGGAGACTGATATTGGGAGGAAGAAGAAAGTGAAGGAAAGGGGGAGCGAGAATGAAAGAAACAAAGGAAAAGAAAGGAAGGGAAAGAAGAAAAGGAAGGAGGGGAAGAAAGGAAGGGAAGATAGAAAAAGGAAAGGAAAATAGGAGAGGAAAGGAAAGGAGGAAGAAAGGAAAGGGAGAGAGAGAGAATGAAAGAAAGAAAGGAAAGAAAGGGAGGGGAAAGGAGGAAAGGAAGATAGAAAAATGAAAGGAAAATAGGAGAGGAAAGGAAAGGAGGAAGAAAGGAAAGGGAGAGAGAGAGAATGAAAGAAAGAAAGGAAAGAAAGGGAGGGGAAAGGAGGAAAGGAAGATAGAAAAATGAAAGGAAAATAGGAGAGGAAAGGAAAGGAGGAAGAAAGGAAAGGGAGAGAGAGAGAACGAAAGAAAGAAAGAAAGGAAAGAAAGGAAAGAAAGGGAGGGAGGGAGGGAGGGGAAAGGAGGAAAGGAAGATAGAAAAAGGAAAAGAAAATAGGAGAGGAAAGGAAAGGAGGAAGAAAGGAAAGGGAGAGAGAGAGAGAATGAAAGAAAGAAAGGAAAGAAAGAAAGGGAGGGAGGGGAAAGGAGGAAAGGAAGATAGAAAAAGGAAAGGAAAATAGGAGAGGAAAGGAAAGGAGGAAGAAAGGAAAGGGAGAGAGAGAGAGAATGAAAGAAAGAAAGGAAAGAAAGAAAGGGAGGGAGGGGAAAGGAGGAAAGGAAGATAGAAAAAGGAAAGGAAAATAGGAGAGGAAAGGAAAGGAGGAAGAAAGGGAGAGAGAGAGAATGAAAGAAAGAAAGGAAAGAAAGAAAGGGAGGGAGGGGAAAGGAGGAAAGGAAGATAGAAAAAGGAAAGGAAAATAGG